GCCCCCCCACCCCGCTGTGGCTCTCTGGAGGAGTCAAACGGACCGCAGCCTTTTCTGAGCGCATCCCTGGGAAAAGCCGCTGATCTAATCCAAGAGCCAACCTGGGGGCGGCTGTCCCGGCTCCTGCAGCCCCATCCCCCGGTGGGCTCTGTCCCATCTCCGCAGGGCATGGGCTGCGGCCCAGTGCTCCAACACCACTAGTCCAACACGGCCCCGCCATGCTGACAATAAAGCTACCGCAGATCTTCAGGGTACATCAGGTGCCTCAGGTACGTGTGGCTGGGTGATGGTGGGTCTCTGCCCACAGGTTTCTCTCCCAGTTTCCCTCATCCAAGGTGGGAAAATGACCTGGGCTACCCACCTGACCTTGCTCCAGCTGGCGAGATGCTCCCAGCCCATCCTGCCTCAGTTTCCCCACCCACCACGAGGCCAGAGCAGCTCTGTGGGGCTGCCCCACTCACCCTGGTGTGTCCCCTGACCTGTCCTGCTGTCCCCACAGATCTTCTGGGAAGATGGGATCATGTCAGGGTACCGGCACCCCAAGAGCTCAGCCCTTGACTGTGTCCTCAGCTCCTTCCAGATGACTAATGAGACAGTCAACATCTGGACACACTTCCTACCGACCTGGTGGGGATGGGGACAGGGACAGAGATGAGGATGTGTGTGGGAATGGTGATGGGCATGGGGATACAGGGTAGAGACAAGAATGGGGACAGGGACAAGGGTGGGAATGATGAAAGGATGGCAGTGGGAATGGGGGCAGGGACAGGTGTGGAGATGGGGACAGAGATGGGGACAAGCATGGGGACGGGGACAAGGATGGGGATGTGCACAGAGGCAGGGATGGGGATAGGAGCAGGGCTGGAGCTCACTGCAACACATGGGGCACCCACAGGTGTTTTGTCTGGCGCTTCCTGGTGCTCTCATCCTCGCTGGACTTCTGCCAGGAGCCCTACCACTGGCCCCTGCTCACCTACCTGCTGCTCGTCTGCCTCTACCCCTTCGTCTCTGGCTGTGCCCACACCTTCAGCTCCATGTCGGTGCGCGCCCGCCATATTTGCTACTTCTGTGACTATGGCGTGCTCAGCCTCTACAGCCTGGGTGAGCCACTGCAGAGAGGGACGGGGACGGGGGGCAGGGACAGCGACCGGGAGTCACCGGCCCCATGATGCTGCATTTCTCCCGCAGGCTGTGCGTTTGCCTATGGCGCCTACGCAATGCCAGACCACTGGGTCAGCAGCGTTTTGCACCGTTACTTTGTCCCCGCGGCTGCTTTTAACTCCTTTGTCTGCACCGGCCTCTCCTGCTACTCCCGGTATGTTTTGGGTAAAAGCGCCAGTGTTGCAACTGGATGGAAACTGGGGCTGGAGGTTTCCTCCTTCTCAGCTTTGGGGATCTGCAGAGTGTCTCTGGGGGAGACAAGCAGTGGGTCTGGCCCAAAGCCAGGGTCCTCGCTGTGGGGGCTGACAGGGGTCCGTGCTCCCTCCCTGCCCTGCGCAGCTTCCCTGAGCTGGAGTGTCCCCGGCTGAGCAAGGTGCTGCGGTTGGCAGCGTTCATGTACCCCTTCCTCTACGACAACATCCCGCTCTTCTACCGGGTGAGTCAGGGTGTCCCGGGGCAGGGGTGGGGTGCCACCACCATGGGGGTCCTAGGGTGCTTCCAGGGGTGGTCCCCCTCATCCGTCATCCATTGTCTGTCTCCCCCCCCCATCCCGGTCCCCCTCACCGCTGCTCACCCACCTCCCCACAGCTCCTCCTCTGCTTCTGGAGTAACGGTGCCTGGAACGAGGCCATGGCCGGGTACTGCT